TCAAATTTTAGTTTCCTAAGTGTTATTATGTATCTTCAACAGAGTACATCCTTTATTGACATTGCAGTGCACCGTTCTTTGTGTAAAAGGAAAACATAATTCGTATCTGATACTGTATAGTCTCCTTGAGCGCTGCATACAAACATATTGTTGATGAGCTCAGTAAGCATCAGATAGCTGAACGGTAAGTATTTTAAACGCTTAAATCACGCACTTGATAAATTGTTACAGGAATTGAAGAGTGATGTTACTGATATTTAGGAAAATTGGCTGGATTTTTTGTACAGACATGGAGTGCATGATTATTTTTCCTATTTAAAATACCAGCACATAGACTACCTCTAAAAATACTAGAACAGAGTCTAACTCTAGTGCCTGATTTGTTACCGAACATGTTTCCAGGAATATCTCAGATTCCAATAACAAGGAATGCAGGCTGTAGGTAAAACGGCAAAGATGTTGACATTCTTGGCCCCCACTAGCTTGTGTGAAGTGCTGTCCAAACCATCAGCTTTAGCTCTGCACGGGCAAATGCTTCCACCCAGAGCTTCCCTGATCTGTATCTGATGCTGACACCAAAGAGGTCACAGCAGTGTCCCTCCCCCACTCCTAAGCCCCATAATGTGAAATGGCTTTGATTTTATATTTATGTTAGTTTTAATCTGATTACTTCATCTGATCTCATACTGTAACATACAGGAGTAAGAAGAGACCCCAAATCAATAATAAGGACTCATAAGAAAGATAATTTGGGGGGGGGGCGCCTGGGTGGCTCAGTCCGTGAAGCGTCTGCCTTGGGCTCAGGTCATGATCCCAGCATCCTGGGATAGAGCCCAGCATCGGGCTCCCTGCTCGGCGGGGAGACTGCTTCTCCCTCTGCCTGCCATTCCCCCTGCTTGTGTTCCCTCTCTCGCTGTCTCTCTCTGTCAAATAAGTAAATAAAATCTTTTTTTAAAAAAAAGATAACTTTAAAAAAATAGTCTTTTGAAGGGAGATTATACAGAGTTTCTACTGCGTTCCAAGCAGTTTCAAGTGTGCTATTTGGATATTATTTCATTCAATCCTTTCAGCCACCTACAAAATAGGTATTATTACTTCCACTTGATGAATGAAGAAACAGCATCAGAAGGGTTAGGTAACTTGCCCAACCCTGCATGACACCACATTTCCTATTAGGAAGGGATTTAAGACCACGTAGGCTCAAAGACAATTTGGGTCAAAATTTCCATTGCAGTGTGCACTGTAAACTGAACAAATCATAGTTTATTTTTTCCTTGTAATATTTTGTAGTTTCTAGGAAGTGTGTGTACCCGACATAAAGACTATACCAATTTGTGTATTTTATAAAGCTTTTTCACATATACCTTCACTGGTTCTTATAATAATTCTTAGAAATGAGGGAAAAAAACTCAAAATCTGGAACAAAATCAAATGTATATTTTCTAGATTATGAACACTCCAAGGACAAGGATCTAGTTTCATTCCTTTTCTGCCCTTATCCAGTTGGGTAGGTTGACTTGCAAAAATAAACACAATTCTTCCCTCACACCCACTTCCTACTTTTGCATATTAATTTTTTTCTCCTTTGATTGTGAAGTCGAACCCACATACAGAAAAGTATATCAAACATATATAAGTTTAATGAGTAATTATAAAGTGAAAATACATATAACGGCCCCCGAGTTCAAGAAAAAGAGTCTATCACCACCAAGGAGGGACCCTGCTTCCCCATCTTGTGTTACTTCTTCCTTATTACCCCATCTTTCTCCACTATCTTGACTTTTGAGATAATCATCCCCTTACTTCTTTGGATAATTTCACCATATATTAGGGAAAACAGCATCCTTTAGTTATGCCTACTGTCAGCCTTTATGTTCGGTTCTGTTATGTCAGCCTGTATGTACGATCTCCTTTTTGCCTAGCTTATTTTGCATTATGTTTATAAGATTCCCCCAAACTGTCCTAGGTAACTGTACTCTGTTCACTCTTATTGTTATGTCATGTCCCATTTTATGAATGTACCCCAATTTAAGGATATTTGGGGTATTTCCAGTTTAGGACTATGACTAGGCTTTGGCTTTAAATATTCTTATATATGTATCCCAGTATACTTGTGCGAGCATTTCCCTAAAGCAAATTTTGATCCCAGAATCTAACAATTTAAAAATTAAAGTACATGAAATTAAGTAATTAAAAAAATTTTTAATTTGAAGTTATTGAGATCTGAGATGCTTAAAAACATCTCGTATCTAATTCATTTAAAATAACAATAATAAACCCATTACATGTTCTAATCGTTTCCTGAGACTGCCATAACAAATTTCCACAAATGTAGTGAACTAAAACAACAGAAATTTCTTCTCTCGGGGTCGTGGAGACCAGATGTCTGAAATTAAAGTGTTGCCAGGGTTGGTTCCTTCCTGAGAATGTTCCAGGCCTTTCTCCTAGCTGCTGGTAGCTGTGGGCAATTCTTGGCATCCCTTGGCTTGAGACCTATCACTCCAATCTCTGCTTTTGACTTCACATGGCATCCTCCCCATGTGTCTGTGTTGGTGTGTCTGTAATGTCCCTCTACTTTCTTTTATAAGGACACAGGTCACTGGATTTAGGGACCATCCTAGATCCAGGGTGATCACAATTCGAGATCCTTAATTACTTCTGCAAAAAAAAAAAACAAAAACAAAAACAAAAAACAAAAAAAAAACCCTACCCTATTTCCAAGTAAGGTCTTATTCACTGAGATGTGGAGTTAGGATTCAGACATGTGTTTTTAAGGGACACAATTCAACCCGCTATACATGTCAACATAAATAACACACTTTTAAATGAAAAATAGCTATATTTTCCAAATAAAAATTTAGTGGTGAGTGATCTTGCTGCATATTTTTGTAAATCTCTTTAATATCTTGATTCATAAAAGGAGCTGGGTGCTCATCTGCTTTTTTACTTTCTTTTCTTTTTTTTTAAAGATTTTATTTATTTGACGGAGAGACAGCGAGAGAGGGAACACAAGCAGGGGGAGTGGGAGAGGGAGAAGCAGGCTTCCCGCTGAGCAGGGACCCCAGGACCCTGGGATCAGGACCCGAGCCAAAGGCAGACACCCAAAGACTGAGCCACCCAGGAGCCCCTGCTTTTTTATTTCAATCCATTATTTGTTGTTTCGGTTGAGATATACGATGGATAAAAGCCTCTACGCCAATAATCTCAGACCCCATTGGGAGGGTTTCAGAGGCTCCCAGGGGTCTTTGGGGCACACTTTGAGAAGCACTGCTCTAAAGTGTACACTTAAAAATATATGCAAAGTGAAATTTCTAGGCATATGTATATAACTCCTGCTTTGCTAGATAATGCCACACTGCTTGTGGTTTGTATCACATTACACATGGACTAGTGGTGCCTGAGGGATCTGGTTGCTCCACATGTTGCTAACATCTGGTATTGTTACACTTTAAAAATGTTGCCTATCAGGTGGTGTGCACTTGCGCAAAGTCACAAGTTAGAAAATAGGACCCAGGGCGCATGGGTGGCTTACTCCATTGGGCGTCTGCCTTCAGCTCAGGTCATGATCCCAGGGTCTTGGGATCGAGTCCCCACATCGGGCTCCCTGCTCAGCGGAGAACCTGCTTCTCTCTCTCTCTGTCTCTCTCTGCTGCTCCCCCTGCTTGTTCTCTCTCTCTGTCAAATGAATAAATAAAATCTTAAAAAAAAAAAGAAAACCCATGTTTCCTACTTTGAAATTCATTCTTCCTTCCTCCCATAGACACAAATAATGCTTCTGTCTCTGGCCCAGTTGTCACCACGGCGCAATCTCCTCCAAATCTTATCTCCTCAGGGCTCCCTTCCCCACTGCGGAGGCTTTGGCCACCCCAGGACACTGGAGGTCCTGCATCTCCCCCTTACCAACACCCCTCACCCCCACCCTGCCTGTGCACCCACCTCCCTCACTTGCCTGCCTGGCGCCTACCCACCTCGCTCTATTTACCTCTCATAAAGCCCTCTACCACCCTCTGCTGATCATCTTCAAGTCATGAGCCTCACCATGGTCATTTATTTAAAAAACGGAATGATCCCTAATTTGTGTTTATATGCACAAGAAAATGTATAATTTAAGAAATCAACACCTGTTAGTTTCTATTAATATTACGTACTATTTTTTAAAAGCACTCCAACATAAACCAGGGTGTGATCATAGGCAAGTTACTCAACTTTCTGGATCCTCAATTTACTCATCACTAAAACAGGTGTCATAATACCCGACTGTACAGAAGGATCCAAAGACGTGTAATACGCTTAGCATGGTGCCTGATGATAAGGAGCGCTCAATTGATGTTTACTTTTATTTAATGAAAGCTTACTTAGTGCTTACAATATGAAAAAGTAAGGTACTTTTTGGAAGTACCGAAGCCTTGTAATAATGCTCTGGGTTAGGTAGTATTATCCTCATTGTACAGAAGCCAACGCTGACGCAGGGAAGTCGAAGTGGTACCTGCAGGCAGCACGTCCCACCTAGACACCAGCGGGACCCACCCTTTTCTCTGGCCCCGCCCCGCCACGTTCACTACGATGGCCCCGCCCCTAACCTCCGGCGCCGACGGAAACCAAGCCGACGTCTCGCGAGCTTCCACGTACACACTCCAACGCCTCTCCGCCTCTGCCGGGGAGAGCACATCCGGGTTGCTGGAGCAGGTGCCTCAGGCCCCGCCCCCTTTTACCAGGCACTCGCCCCACTTCCGGCCATCTCAGGCCTCTTTCCGCCCGTGCTTTGCCGGCTTTATCTTTGCTCTGTGGGTCGTTCCCGGCGCCTGGATCCGGTCCTTGCGCACCGCTCGCCGGCACCCAGCGTCTCGTCCCTCCTCCCGAATCCCTCCGAGGCTCGGAGCGACTCTGCCGTGCGTCTTCTCGGGCCGCCCGGGCTGAGGCCTGCCGCGCGCGGCGAGTCCGCGCAGACCTGACCCCGCGTTTCCCCGCAGCTCCGTTGAGGCCGCCGCCGTCGCCTCGGGATGCCGGGGCCGGGGTCCGCGCAGCGCTGGGCGGCCGCCGCGGGCCGTTGGGGCTGCAGGCTGCTCGCGCTGCTGCTGCTGGTGCCGGGGCCCGGCGGCGCCTCCGAGATCACCTTCGAGCTGCCGGACAATGCCAAGCAGTGTTTCTACGAGGACATCACGCAGGGCACCAAGTGCACCCTCGAGTTCCAGGTATTCGGTGCTCTCAAAGTCCAGGGGCCCCAGCTCGCGGTTCCGGGGCTGCAGCCTGCTTGCGGACCCCCTCCTGCTGAGGTTTTTCCATTCTTTGGCTGAGGAATCACCTCTAGGTAGCCGAAGCGGGGCATTTGCCTTTCCTGTTCTAAGCCTGGGGCGAGAGCCATTTTAGACCAGATAGGAGGATGAGTGAATCCCAGAAATGCTTCCTGTGGCTGTGACTTTTCCTTCCATGCTCTAATGCCTTTCGTTTTAACGCCTATTGAACTTTCCTCCTTAGAAGACTCTTCTTTAAAAAAAAAAAAAAAAAAAAAGTTCTTCCTGTGCTGTGGTGCTCAGTGTCCGGTCCCCTACTCTCTCTGACCCCCACCTCCACTTTAATCAGATTTGAAGTACTGCCAATATCTCATTCCACTGCTTTTCAGTTTTTCCATTGATGTTCCTAGGACTTTTGGTGAATTCTGTCCCCTGTCATAGGCAGAGCTCCATTGGATGGAGCACCTGCCAAAGGTGTAGCGTAGAACACTTCGTTCTACGAAGGGCTGTCATCAGTGAGAGGCCCCATTTCGTCTTTGGGATTTTATAGAAAACAAACTTTATTTCACAGAATGTGGTTTCTTAAGTTTGTTACAACAGTCTTTATTTCTGTTTTTCTTGGTAGACTGACAACATGTTTGAGCAGCTGTTGAGCGGTAGGTGCTGGTGATTACAGAAGTGGTCCAAATAGATTGGGTCACTGCCGTCATTCCTGATTCCCTACTCATCCTTCCCTTGTCTCAGTACCTGCTCATTCGTCAAGACTGTGTTTTAAGAGCAGAAAATAGGAGATAAAATGGTCTGATCTTTGGGATCGATGAGGGCTTCCTTTAGGAAGTGATTTTAAGCTCACCTCTAAAGGATTGGTTGTAAATACCTTGGTAAGGGGGGGTGAGGGAAGAGTGACTTTTGCAAGAGTGACTGGGTACTTGAGGACCATTGAGAGATCCAGGATAGTTGGGAATAAGGAGCTGGAGGAAGGGAGGTCAGGGGCCAGACCATGTGCCTTGCTGGCCTAGTTAAGGATTTTAGTTTTTCCTGAGATGGGAAAGCCCTCAGAGGGTTGTAAGCTGTGCAGTGGAGTGGCTGTGGAAGACAGCCTATTAGAGTGGTCCAGGCTTCTAGGGTGGGAGCTGTGGGGAAGGAGAAAAGTGAAGGGATTGGAGAGAAGTTCGTAGGTGAAATCAACAGGACTTGGTGATGGTTCGGCTTCTGTGAGTGAAGGGAGCGAGGCTAAGGATCACCCTTCGGTTTTGTTTAACTTCATGGATTAGAGCCAGGGGACAGAAAACAAGATAGCAGGAATTGTATAATATAAAAGCGTGATTGTATTTCAGGTGTCAGAGTCAGACGCTGTGCTTGGTGCTGAGAATACTACCACTCCTATTCCGGGCTAAAAAAAATTAGCATCTGTTATGTAGCAGACAGTATGCCAAGTATTTTAGGTATGTTACTTAATTCTCAGGACAACTCCATAGGAAATAGATACAGTTCTTATTTCTTTCTTACTTATGAAGCTGAGGCTTTGAAAGCTGTAAACCCAAGGTCACAAAACTTAGCCAGTAGCAGAATGCAGCAGTATGCAGTCCCAGGTTAAATTCTTAACTCCTTTGTTATATACAGCACCTCCCAAAGATTAATAAGACTGACCTTGACCTCCGGGAGCTTCCATGGACACATTACAGTCAGACAGTATTAAATGCAACAGTGAAAGTGCACGCTCGGTACAGTGCTGGCCAGAGGCTGGCCAGAGGCGGAGCGGTCATCAGGGAAAGGTGGCAGAGGGGCTGATGTTTGAGTTGTGTCTAGGAGAAACAGGAGTTACTCTACAAGATGGCAGAGGGGAAAGGACATCCTAGGCAGGTAGTTTGTGAGACTCAATTCTTGAAATCAGCTTGAGCCCACACTGAAATACAGTGAGTAATAGTGTTGCATTGTAACTGTGGGTCCAAGGGCTTTAGGGCTGGTTCTTACCAGTTTGTCAGCACTGTTTATTGGTAATAGATTGATGATGAAACAGTCTTGGTGAAACTGCCCCCCGAAAAGGCCGTGCTGTTGAGACTGGTTCCATGGTAGGAATATGTCGATGTGACCAGCAAAATTGAAAAAAACTCAGCCAGTCCTTGATTTTGGGCTCCCTGGTTCCAAGGTGTTCCTTGCACACTTGAGTGGTTCCTAATCTGAGAGTCTGTGTCCGGCTCCAGTCCTCAGAGAGGGAGGACAAAGGACCACACCTAACCTTCCATCCTCTTTCTGTGAGACAGCTTTTGACTCTGATAGTTTATATTCTTTTCCTGTGATAAGCTGTAAATTGGTAAGTATTGTCATTGTGGGTCCTGATTCTTTAGCAGACAGGACCTGTTTAACCTGCTGCTGTTCCTGCGGGTATAGAACAAAGACTTGTTCACTCTGCTATTTTTGGAACACAAAGTCAGGAAGGGTATAGAAGAGGTGCCGAGGCTACCTTGAAGGAGGTGCAGAGGAGTGGTGTGGCATTGTTAACAGGTTTGGATTTTTCTGGAGGCCACAGGAATTGAGAAAAGGTTTTAAGCAAATGGGGAGGTGTGGAGATTGCCCCCCCAGACATGTGGGGGGGGTGTTGCTGGCATCTGGAGGATAGAAACCAGAGAGGCTGCCCAACCCCGCAAAGAATTATCCAGCCCTAAGGGAGCTGAGGTGGAGAACAAACCCCGGGGTTAGAGGGAGGAGAGATCAGGTTGTGGGAAGACCTTTTAGGAAGTTGTGGCTTTAGTCCTGTCTAGGCTGTGGATTAGGAATGGAAGAGAGAGGGTGAATTTGAGAGAGGCAGTAACGTCAGGAGATTTCTGTGAGAACTGGACAAGTAGGGACACTTAGTTCGGGATGATTCCCAGTTTCTAATTTCCGTGACCAGGCAGATTGTGAAGGGGTACTTTTTATCTGAAATAAGATTATTTGTTTTAAAGTTTGATGGAGGAAAAATGGCATGGTGATCAATTCTGGTCCTCTTCCGTTTGTGTACACATTTGACGACTCAAAGTACAGCGGCCACACGTGAACAAAATGAAGTCATGGTTTTCACCTGGAGGAAAGGTGGTTGACATTTGGAGAAGTGGTAAATGCCCAATTGTTAAGACCTTTTTTATGTCAAAACATTATATCCCTATGTTAATATTTGCATATTTTTGCAGTTCTCTAAGTCCATAATTATACTTCATTTAATTATCACAGTGATCTTGTAGTTAGTTCAGTTATCCATCCTGTCTCCTAAGTGACAAGAGGTCACATTAGCAGCCAGTCCTTCTTTGAAGTGCAAAGTTTAATCTCTGTCCTGCAGACCTAGAATGTCAGTATTACGCTAACCAAGAGGGTTCAAGCCTGAAAGTACAGGCTTGTGCGCCTGCTCTCCCCATCTCAGCCCTCAAACCCACGTCTCTCACATCATTCCCAGCTCTGCAGCCAGCGCCCCTTCTTTCCTATGTTCCTCCCTCTCTCTTCCCGCTTAATTCTTGCTACCATAAGGAGGCCTTTCTCCTCCTTAGTCCTTTTCTGACTATGCCTGTCCTGTTACCTCAGGAAAAATCTCCCTCCCCTGCTTCTGTGCAACCCCAGTGGCCTATAAACTGTAACTGATTAAACGTGAGCCCTTCAAAACAGTTCCAGAATCCTCTTCAGAACATTTCATTTACCCCTGGCTTTCCTTTCACATGTGCTTGCCCTAAAGTACAAGCTTTCCAGATAAGTGGAAGATTTGTTTGCTTTTGTTTTGTTCTGTTTTGTTTTTGTTTTAATCACAAGTATACAAACAATATAGTTTAGTCCTTAATGTTTCCCTGGGGAACAAGTTTATAAAATAATGATAAACTCTTTGAATAGCCCACAAGTCTATTCAGTTCATAATGTAGTTCAAAACAAAATGTGTATCAAATTCCATATAACTGACCTATAGAAGCACTTACGAAACAAACCTGTTTGTAATTTGGCAGTGAAATGAGTTGAAGTTCTATAATAGAAACATGCTTGGGTGGCATGCCAAGGGCCGATCTACGTTCCTACTTCACCGCACTGTCCGTGTGTGCTTGGATGGTACAGAGAGGAAACCAGGGAAGAAAATCTGGGGAGGGAAAATATTACATGGCAGTGAGCTTAAGGGTCAAGAGTCTGACTTTGGACTTCAGGTTCTGCCTCCGCCTTTTGCTAGATGAGCTATCTTGGGTAGGTTGCTTATCTTAACTCCGTTTCTCAGCCTGTCAGATGGGAGGGTGAAAACCCTCTCTTGTAGGGTCCTTGGGAGAATCAAGTGATGTAAGCTGTCACAAGGAAATTTGTTCCATTTCTCTAAAGCTTGAACTGACATCTGCCTCCCAAATTCCATCCATTGCTAGAAAGAAAAAAATGTAAAATTGTCTGTGATAGGGAAAGTCCTTTGCCGATAGCCTTATTGTCATTTTAACAGAAAATCTGATTGCTTTCTCAAACTTGTTAGTTGCCGTGATATCTACCTTTTTCCTCTCTCTCTCTCTCCATAGGTGATTACTGGCGGTCACTATGATGTAGACTGTCGGTTAGAAGATCCCGATGGTAATGTGTTATACAAAGAGATGAAGAAACAGTATGATAGCTTTACCTTCACAGCCTCCAAAAATGGGACATACAAATTTTGTTTCAGCAATGAATTTTCTACTTTCACACACAAAACCGTCTATTTTGATTTTCAAGTTGGAGAGGACCCACCTTTGTTTCCTAGCGAGAACCGAGTCAGTGCTCTTACCCAGGTAAATAAAATGTCAGCAATATAGTAGTGTGTTTAAAGAGGGGGGGAGCATAAATTGATATGCCTTAACTTATTGACGAATGCAGAATTTTGAGACTTTTACACAGTCTTTAAGATCTGTCTTAATTCTTTTAGATTAAGCATTTCACAGAGAACTTTGGACATTTTTGGTGAAAACCACTGTTGAAGGATTTTATGAACTTTAAATGTAAAGAAAATAAGCCTTGAAATAGGAGAGTCACTTCAATGGGAAAGGACATTTAGGAAGACTGGACATGCTCCCGCATTCTGAAGTCATGGAGGGATACGACTTCATAACCTGGCAGGTTGCTGTAACTGGAAACAAAATGGTGCCTTAACTGATACTTAAATATGCCACGGGGTAGTATTAGACCAGGATTTAGTGTCCATTCACACTGCTGTTAGAATAATGTTTGCTGTAACTTAAAATATTAAGGATTAGTGGTAAGTCATCTAACAGAAAATAGTTAAAGGGCGCCTGGGTGGCTCAGTTGATTAAGCAGTTGACTCTTGATTTTGGCTCAGGTCCTGATCTCAGGGTCCTGGGATTGAGCCCCGAGCTGGGCTCCCGGCTCTGTGCTTGGCGGGGAGTCTGCTTGAATAATCTCTCTCCTTCTGCCCTGCCATCTCTAAAATAAATAAATCAATCTTTAAAAAAAAATAGAGGAAAAGTAAAGATAGATTGGATTTTATTTTGAAGAAGACCTTAAAGAGAGAAAGATAAGGAAAGAAATTTAAAGTCGATGGACAGATGCTGCTCAGGTGATAAGAAGGGCTCTTTAATTTCCAGTTTAAATATAGTCGGAGCTTAGATTGTATCTAAAAGACTCTCAATTACATATCCAGAGGAATTATTTACCAACTACTTGCTCGGACCTTAAACTGGTATTTCATTCTTCCCAGGTTCTAGTTAGTCTGTTGGCCAAAATCACGTGGTGATAGAGGCAGTTTTGAATAATGTATAAGAGCCTTAATTCCTAAACCTCCTGTGAGCATTAACAGGATGTATTCATGCTAATACTTTTAGAAATGTTCCCTCGTATTTTAGCATCCTGTATGAGTGGCACTTCACTTTGTAAAAAGATTTTTCTTTGGGGCCTTTGTTTATAACTGAACCTTCATGAATTTGAATAAGAAGGTAGCTTGCCCTAAAAACCTTAATAGGTAAATACAAGGAATGCATGGTAATAAAGCAGTCAGTATCCATTAATCTCCTTTATTCATCTCACATTTTTTATCTTAGTCTTATTTTTCTCCTTTCAAAAGCTAGTAAGTCCCTCATACGGTAGTGATACTTAAAAAGCAGCTGTTCACACCTTAAAATAGAAAAAAATTACCAGCTGATAAATGCAGAAAAATTACAGAGTTGTTGTAAATCACCATTTTTCACCTATTAATAAGACGATAGATCTGGAGTAGACCGTGATTACCGGTCACTGCTAAAACCACTCCGTGAAAGGCTGAGGGGAGGTTTATAGTGACTGGATCACACCGATACCACCTAAACCTAATGACCATTTCCAGATGGAGAGATGACTAGGCATTGTGTGTCTTCTGTGTGTGTTCGCATTAATGAAGTACACAACATTGCCCGGGAGGTATTCCCACCCAGAACATTGCATCTGAGTCCCTTCAAGTCTCTTGCTCCAACTACCAGTTCATAAGAAAAACAGGATGGAGGAACGCCATGGGGTTACGGTCAGCAAAACCCAGGAAGTTGGAAATGCTGCGGGACGGAGGACCCATTTCTTCAACAGACGGGAAGGGAAAGAAGCAGAAAGAACCTAAAGATTAAGAAGACTTAAAAGACACATCAACCAAATGATTGTGTCGGAGCTCTTTGGGTTCCGATTTGGAAACAACTTTTTTAAGATACTTGGGGAACTTTGAACGTTAAATTTCTATTGAAAAATTTTAAAAACTATTTCTGATGCTTTGATGTGTGATAATGCTCCCAGGGTTACACTTTTCAGTGTTGCCTTTCAGAAATGAGTATAAAGTGTAAGAGTATCACTGAGATGGTAACACACAAGGGATTTGCCTTCAATTAGTTGGAGCGGGGAGGAAAACAGGTGAGGAATATGCGTTGGTGAGACAAGATTAGCCATGCGCTTGTTACTAACGTGAGGCTTTGTTGTACCGTGCTCTTTTGAATATGAACTTGAATACGAACAGTTCCGCTTAGTGTTTGCCTTTTTTCCCTACGTTTTCTGTCTCAAAAATTATATGAATCCATGCAATTATTACCTTAATTTCTGTGATTTTCTTTCATCCAGCACTTCTTAACCCTCACTCCGGGTTGGGCTTCAGGGAATCCTTAAACATTGTGAATTTGTGTCAGATCCTTGCTTTTATGCATACTTCCAGGGTTAGTACCACTCACCACTCTGAGAATGCATGGAAAGTAGAGATCGGCTGGAAGCACCTCTGTAGCCCCCTCCCACAAATTAGAAGTCATTCATTTTAGCACAGCTCTGCTAATATTTGATTCCTAAGGGCCTAAACAAAACAAGAACAGCAGGAACGTTCGAGTATCCTAAGAGGTACATGGAATTTGTGGGCCACATAATTTCTCGCACTTTTTAGAAGCGTTTTAATGACTTTTTATAAATGATTTCTTTCATACTTTGACAGAACTTTATTAAACGTTTGAATTCTTTTCTAGTGTCTATATTCCTTCACTAAAATTAAGGCAGGAAAAAAATATTCCCAGAATCTTTTGAGAGATTCTTTGGATTTATTAGTAAAAGGAGGGAAGAAGCTGTAAAAGTTATAAACACTTGAGGAGACGTAAGTCCAAATAACTTTGTGACATACAGGTATTATAGTGACTGACTTAGCTTAACGATATTGGGGTCCAAAAGGAGAGAGAGGAGCAGAAAGGAATGTTGTAAGGTTGCTAAGATAAACGTCACTGGAGAATTTTCCAGAATACAGGAAAACAGTAACTTTCACCACCTTCCTCCCCCTGCTTCCCACACTCAGTGGTCCTCGTCACTGTCCTGTGTCATAAAAATATTTTTCTTTTGTATGGCTGTGCACAGTATATGCTCCTTTCTTAGTGATGAGGGGAAAAAACCCTCAGATCATTTTAAAAATTCTTAATATATGGTTTGTGATGTAGAATAAGTATAATTTAATAATAGAGTATTTCATCACTACGATTAAGTTTTCAGCAGTAGAAAACCACTACACTGTGCTGTATTAAAAACCCTTCTCAAAGCAGATCATGTGATGAATGTGTAGAAAGGTAAGGTGCTGTCAGATGAAGACACAGACTGATGACACAGTGAAACTGAAACTTCTTCCCACTGAGAACAGTTGTATTGGCTCAGTTGACTGGCCGGAGGGAAGAGACATAGACATGTTTAGCAAATTGGTAAATTAAAAAACAAAGACATTGATGCTCTGACCTATCACTCTCAGACTCCTCTGCTTTTAAAATAGTTAATAACTTTGAATAAATCTATTTTTGTGTCCTACTTGGTTTTTTTTGCATATATCTGGGCTTTGATTTGTATTCTTCTTATTCATCAAATTTACCGGCCTGCCATTCTTGTCTTCCTAATTCTTCTTCATGCAAGAATCTGAACTTGAAATTCTGTAACCGCCAACTGTGACTGCTAAGTGTTTCTGCTACTGTTGGCTCGGCGTTCCATCTGGTACCTTACAGGTGCCACAGCTGTGACTTTCCAAGGTGGGGCAAGCCACCGCCTCGCCGAGTCTCTGGCCTTACCAGTCGTCTTGGTGGGGATGGCCGCAGGGACAGCGTTGCTAGCACCGCGGGCCTACATGCGTGAGCAAGCGAATGCCACTTCAGTAGCGGGCTGATCAAATGAGGAATGGAGATCAAATGGAAAGATGAATTACCCATACTAACTGGAAATCTTTCTCTTTAGATGGAATCTGCCTGTGTGTCCATTCATGAAGCTCTAAAGTCGGTCATCGACTATCAGACTCATTTCCGTTTGAGAGAAGCTCAAGGCCGAAGCCGAGCGGAAGACCTAAATACCAGAGTGGCCTACTGGTCCGTAGGGGAAGCCCTCATTCTCCTGGTGGTCAGCATAGGGCAGGTATTTCTCCTGAAAAGCTTTTTCTCAGATAAAAGAACCACCACAACTCGAGTTGGATCCTAACTACGTTTTGAGAATTGACGCACCATTGCCACCATAATATTGCTGTCCTCTAATTAATTTTAGGTACCGAAGAACTTGATATTGGCAACACTTTTAAACCTTACTCATACACTTGTTGGGGGGGATGTACAGTGCATATCCCCAAGCTGTGGAAAGGACACCTTTTTTTATTTGTAAAGGTAGAAAAACTTCGGAACTTACTTTGCAAAGGCTCCCCATGTTCAGTAGTCAGCACCAATGATCTCAGTTGTTTCTATCTACTCTTCGCACACTAAACTGGCATTTTGATTTCTTTTAGCCATTTAAAAGTACTTTTCTTATAGGTAGTGGATATTTTAAAAACCTTCAATTTAATATCTGTGTGTTGTGGAGGAAGAAAATTGCCTTTGAATTGTTTATAGTACAGTTTTGTTTTTCAGAAAACCAAAAGTGATTAACTGTAGCCCAGGCCCTATTCTGCACTGTTTAATTTGGGGGTGGGGGGAGCCACCGTGGAAACGTTAGTTAAGAAACGTTAGTTAATATTGATATAATTTTAAATTGATGCATCATGGTAAAATTTATTCCGTGCTAGCTTGGAAAATGTCAGATTTTTGGTTTTTTGTGTGTTTATTCTAGGATTTATAAGCAGATACATTCTTTTTTTCCTGAAGACATTCTTACCACAGAGAAAATAGTATGTTTCGATAGCATAACAGTTTATACAAGCCTTAAAAATCAGACTGTTAAAACAGGTAGAGTAATTACAGAACAACTTAAGATTCTATAGTGGGAGGCAAATGAAATGAGAAAAGTCTTAGCAAGTTATCTGCACATTACTACATTTTCAGTGCTTTTACAAAGAAAAAAGGTGGTCTGTTTTATTTTAACATTTTGATTGGCTGGTTTGTGCCCTAATGTGGCTTCAATGTCTGAGTCATTCCCCGCTTAAATTAACAGTTGTAATATTCGTATTGTAAAAGTGCCATATATTTTATCCTGATGGGTGTGATGCACTGAGAAGTTAGTTTCTTTGGTTTTTTCTTTCTGTCTTTCTTTTTTGGTTTGGTTTGGTTTTTGGTTTTTGTCTTGCACATGTAATTTGTACGATCTCTGGTTAGCCACCCTAAGTTGATTTGAAACTTTAGAATGCCGTGTGTTTCTTATTTGATAATCTTCATCGATTGTACTGCATTCAATGAATATTAAACAGTGCATATTCTGTACACTATAGGGTTTAGACTGTGTTTGTATTTTATAACTTGTGTAGACTGAGCTGATCGATTTGTCAGATTTGTTCAGGTATTCCAGAAGAGAATACAAGACAAATGAGAAACTCTATAGGTGTTTAAAGCTTTTCTGCTGTTAAAAAAGAAAAAAATTGCAACTGCTTTTTGCCCTGCCTCCCTCCCCCACCCAAGAGTGATGAGTGCTGAGCAAGACTGCCCTATTGTAGAGATTCTGATAAGTAGCACATAGCTAGAATAGAATAGCAGTTCCGGTCACTTATCACTGTGGACTGGAAGTTAACTCTTAATGCTAAGCTGTCTTTAACTGTCTTCAAAAAGCATATACACTTCTTCGTGTGAGAGCAGAGCAAATTCATAGTTGTCATGCTTGCTAATTTCAGTTGCCACAGTGTAGCAAGGGACGAACCATTTTCAACCCTTGAATTCTAAAAATTTCCAAGACCAAATAGCATCTCCTTAAACTGTGTATCAGGAACTGGAAGTCTCAGATTTTGCAGATTTACCTATTTGGGTTCTTGCAGTGGAGTTGTCCTGCAGCTTTCTAAGTGTCCCTCTAGATTTAGATTTGCACATTTTCAGCACTAGCGTTATTGTGATTGATAAGCACGGGCATGCATCCCGTGTCCTTCTCTCTGGCTACCTGTCTGCTCTGTTGACTTCGGACACTTAACACCATAATGAGGCAGAGTCAGGTATCATCAGTGCACGGAGTGAGCATAGGTAATGTCATCTGATCTGTGCCTATCAAAACTTGATGATACTAGACTATTACTACAAATAACTTTTGATGAAACTATTGAGGTCGGTTAAAATTTCTGAAATCACCACTGTTACCCGCTGTAGAAAATAGTACAGGCTTAGTCTAGTCTGTATGTAACTGGTTCAAGTTTGATGGCAGTCTATACTCAACCGGGTATGTATATGTAAATTAGAAAATACATCTCTATCCAGACCTGAATGTTAAGGCCTTTTTTCTTTCTTCCTCCTACTATATAATTTGTAGCTCATCTTTTTTCTTTAATCCTTTCATGACTTGTTGGAACAGTTTGAATTTCCCAAATATTTATGTTTAGACAGATGGCTCAGAATATATATTTAACATCACTAGCTGTATATATTTTTAAAGTAAAATAAATAATGGAAAGGGACTTGATACACAAGTTTATTACTAAAATTTCAACTGTGTGAAGATCCATTTTAAGATATTACTTTGCTAATAATCTAAACAGTCTTTTTTTCTATTAAACAAATGGTTTGTGGTTCACAGCTTTCATCCTGACTGATATGATAATCAACTTTGAAAATACAGTGAACTGAAAAGCAGTTTTATTCTTTGAAAGATTTCATTTAAATCTCTGTACATCTACTTTTGCTTCAGTTTGTAAATGTGAAACATTTATAGTTAAATAGGACAAAGCAGACCCTATGACTATTGTTTTAAAAAATTAAACAAGTTAATATATAAATAATTCAAAGGGGGTTTTCATTTACTTTTGGAAAGAAAAATTTCTCTGAACACATGTTGGTTCTCCAGGATTGCACCAATCAATTCTTGTAGAATAAAAAAACAATCTTTCAACAAACTGACTTCATTTGTTTCTGTCAGGATTTGTCTTTTTAAAGCTCCTTACAAACTTGCAGCTTGGGGTACAGTTTGTAGCGAGAGAGTGATTTTTTTTTTTTTTTTTTTTTAAGTAGGCTCCACACCCAGCGTGGAGCCCAACTCAGGGCTCAGTCTCACATCCCTGAGATCGTGACCTGAGCCGAAATCAAGAGACAGATGCTCAACCAACTGAGCCACCCAGGTCCCCTGAGAGAGTGATTTTTATTTGGTATTTCATTTAAACATCTCAGGGGCTGGCCAGGAAAGATAAAGAAGAGGAAGACCACCTCTAAACTACCTCCTTTTTAACTTTGTGCATTTCTTACTGAAAGTTCAGGTGAAAAGGAGTTAAGCCCTCAGTTCTCTAAAAAGCTCATCGTTTTTGTGGGTTTTTTGTTTTTTTTTTAAGTAAATTAATCTTAGGTTGTTCAATACCAAGTTTCCTCGGGTTTTTTTCTTTCCCTTCATAATGCAGTCTATAGGGGACATCCTGGTTCCCAGGCAAAATTCAACAAAAGTAGCAGAGAAGGAACAGCAAACATAGATCAATATTTATTGAATGCTTACCCCGTGCCCGGTGCTATGCTAAGTATTTTACTTGTGTCGACACGTTTCATCTTTGCGATAATCCCATGAACTAGGGATATTCTTCCCATTTCACAGATGAGGAGATGGAGGCATAGACAGGTTAAGGAACCTTCCTATATCTGAGTCGTGAGCAGCAGCGGTGTGCCCCGTGGCACTCCGGCTCCAGAGCCCTCTCCAGCCACTGTGCAGCACCGCCTTACACACACTGATTAAGGGTAGATCTCTGAAGGCTTAGCTATCTTGATTTCGGTACAGCTCAATGGCACTTCAGGGCTTTTTGGCTTTGGAGTCACAGCCAAGTTCAAATTATGGTTGTGTGACCTCACACAAAGGATTTTATGAATTCTCTGTATTTCTGTTTCTTCATCTACTGCCAAGGTAATATCTACTATAATGAGAGGTATTTATGAAACACCTAGTGCCTATCATATATAAGCCCTTCATAAATAGCTCTATTTTTCTCATTGGTCCAGTTCTAGTCTCTTGATCTTTAGTTTCTGAAGTTCTTACTGTAGCCTCTATTCGTATGGCTCTTAAATAATATGTAACACAAGTGTGAAAGCGTTTATCTATTGTGTACTTAATAGTCTGCTAGACATTTCAAAAATGAATAAGATAGTATGACCCCCAGGAACCTAACTTAGTTGAGGGAGACAGGATAGCTCTATGAGCCACTAATGTTACATAAGTAGTGAAGCGAAATCGACTTGGAGAGTCTCAAGACATTCTATCTAGGATGCCAGAAGTAAAGAGACTACAGGATCTAAAGACTTACTCCCCAAGGAGTTTAACTCTGTCTCCCCACAGGGGAAGCCCATGGTTGTCTAACTAGGCCAGTGATTTAGTGGATTAATCTCTAATTCAGGGATATGGACTATTAGCCAGTCTCCGTTGCTACATATTGAAAAACATGTTCTTTAACTTTGTTAATAATAAAAGTGATGTTTGATCTAAATTCTCTGTCATGGTTGTTTCCAGATCTGGGAGGAAATACAAGGATGTTATCACCAAAGGCACTGTTTTTCAGTCCACATTGCCCCATTTTATCCATAAGATATTAGAAGTGATCATATTACTTGCTGGAATCAAGATAGACTAGAAGTTAACACTGGTCTGGCACAATCTCTTCTAGCGCTGGTAACTACTAGTGATTACTACTCCTTTAAAAAGAAAAGGCAACACAAGAATTTGAGAATGAATGGTTCAATGAGTAAAATACACTCAGTCCCACCATCCACTTGGATGTATTTCGGTTACTTTTATAGATACATGTATATGTTTTAAAGAATTGGTATTATATTGCCTGAATAAGATTTTCAACTTAAAATTGTGAATTCTGACATAATACAGAAGTTATTAAATATGTATAACTTAAAGAGAAATAATGTAAAGCATACATTCATATAACCAGTGCTCAGGTTAAATGCGGCATTCCCTGCACTGTAGTAGGCTTCTGTGTATCCATAACTGATCACATCATTGACCTTCCCCACTAGACATAACCAGTGTTCTGATGGTAATGAAAATAATTTTCTTATTTTTCTTTATATTCTCATCAGTTAGGTGTAGTAGTTCTTCACAAGCCACTCTTTAAGAAAATTTCCAAACCATCACAAACTGATACTTGTATAAATACAAAATCACATGCTTCAATATTTTGGCACGATCAGATTATCAGCCTTTGTAACTGCTTACTTTCTAGGCATGCTTACGTTCTCTTTTTGTACTCATCTCTTCTTCAACCAGTAACAGTTGGGTGTGGCCTTGTGGACCACACTTTGAAGAGCACTGATGATAGTTTTGTTTTTTTTTAAGATTTTAATTATTTGAGAGCGAGAGAGCATGAGCAGGGGGGAGAGGCAGAGGGAGACGGAGAAGCAGACTCCCCGCTGAGCAGGGAGCCCGACATCGGGCTCCACCCCAGGATCCTGGGATCATGACCTGAGCTGAAGGCAGACTCCTAACCAACTAAGCCACCTGGGTGCCCTTTATTAAAGTTTAACAAAGTATTAAATCCTATTTAGTCATTAGGATAATACATGTATTCTCTTGCGACTTTGTTTTGCTGAGTCATCCACGTTGATGCCTATGGCTGTGGTTGGTTTCCATTACTGGGTAGCAGTCCATCCTATGAGTACACTGCAGTTGTGTGTCTCTTCTGCTGTTGCTGGCACTTGGATTTTGGCAAAGCCACGAAGAACATTCTTACATATCTGTCCCATTGCATATGTGTAGGATCTCTTGAGACTAATACCTCCAGGAGTAGAACTGTTTGCATATGGAGTATGTGTACCTTCATCTCTTCGAGGTCATATCACACTTTTCGAAAGCAATTATAGCAATCTGCTTTGACCAGCAGCAGGGGGAAGGCTCCACATTTGATATTGTCAGACTTGGAGACTTTCAAAAAATCTCCTGGGTGTGTGACATTGTAAAGGCAACATTGAAGAATTTGAGAAATAATAGGGCAAAGAATACAATCCACCCATACTCCCACAATCCATTTAATCTGTACCTGTGAAACAAATAATACATTATATGTTAATAATTTTTAAAAAATGTATTTCAGTTACCTTTTTAGATTACATGTATATGTTCTTAAAAAAACTGGTATTCTACTTAGTGTTGCTTAATTTGCATTTCCATGAGGTTCATTTGTTTGCTTACCATTTCGATTTCTTCTTTTGTAAAGTGCCTGTTCAAATCATTTGCCCATTTTTAAAAATGGGATTGTTCCAAAAAAAAAAAAATTGGGATTGTTCCAACATTTTTTGGTTCACAGGATCCCCTTATAAATTCAGGAGGCTAATCCTTTGGTTGTAACTGTTTCAAATATTTTCTCACAGTCTCTTTATCTTTCTGATCCTAATGCAGTGTATCAGTTTTTGTTCTGTATTGTTGGTGGTTTTGTGTCTTGTTGAAGAAATATTTCTCTGTCCTGGAGTCATGAATATCTTCTTTTGTGCTATGTTCTAAAATATGTAAATTTTGTCTTCTACTTGAATCAAGTTTTGTGTATAGGATAAGATAAATAACCTCGTTCTTGTTTTTTTCTTAATTCCTTGAAAACTCATCTTTCTCTGTTTTGATTTGCCATACCAATTCTGTCATCGATATTTACCGGAGTCTATTTCTGGGCTCTTCATTCTGTTCTGTTTGTCAGTCTGTCCATACATCAGTAACATATTGCCTTAATTACTAAAGATTTTAAAATTCTTGATGTCTGGTAAAACAGGTCTTTATACCTTTTTCTTCGAGATTTTTGGCTGTCATCTATCCTTTGCATTTTTGTGCAAAGTTTGGAATTAGCCCAAATTTCAACTAAACAAAATAATCTGTCACTTTTCTGTATTACTGTCATGGATATTTTGTTTGGATCTTCAACTTCTTAGTCTAATATATATTTAAAACTGTAGATTTCCTTCAAAATGCGACTTTAGCTGCATGTTCATTTTCTGTGCTCTGTGACAAGTGACCGCAAGTTTACCCGTCTACAACAGCGTACGTCTCTTATCTCCCAGTTTCTCTGGGTGAAGAGTCTGCGCACAGTTTAGCTGGGTCCTCTGTTCAGGGGTTCACAGGGCTGCATCAGGTAGTCACCTGGACTGTGTTCTCAGCTGGAACATGGGGTCTTCTTTCACACTCATCAGGTTGCTGACAAAATTCAGTTACTTGCGGCCCTCTGTCACTAGAGGCTGCCTGTCCATATAAGCAGATCACATCTTGACTGCATGCTGCTTCCTGGCCAGCAGGAGAGACTCTCTGCTGTGAGTCCCTTTCAGGAAAGCCCAGCCAGGATTCACCTGATGAGGTCACAACCACCCAGAATAAGCTCCCTTTTGACTAACTCAGAGCCAACGGAATAGGAACATTGATTGCATCTCCAAAATCTTTTCATCTTTGCCCTATCTGTTGGTAAGAAGCAAGTTCGTAGGTTCTGCCCTCACAAGGGTATCGATAGGGGGATGGGGAGGGAATGCAGAGGCTCTCTTGGAATTCTGCCTATCACAGACTCCATTCTACATGTCTGGTCATCTGTTTTAGTTGCTTATTAACTTCAGAGTTTTCTGATTTCATTATTACTTGTATTTGACCCACAGATATTATTTGGAACTAGAGTTCTTAATTTTCAGCCATAGCTATCTGAGTGATTGCATTGTTATTAGAGAATATGTTCTCTGCATGATTGAAATTCGTTGACATTTGTTGACGGTTGCCTTACGACTCCATTTACCTCCCTCTCGATTTATATGTTGTCATGTATTTTGTATCTCTTTAAATATGTCATGACTGTTGTTTTGTACAGTCAGTATTCCTTTAGGTTTGTCCATATCTTTACCACCCTTTTTGCTCTCTGTTCTTTGCTGTGTTTTTGAGCTTCCATCTGGAACAATGTAGTGCAGTTTGGCTAGTGGCAGATTCACCTGAATTTTTTTTTTGAAAATGTCTTTATTTTTCCTTCCTTTTTTTTTTTTTAAAGATTTTATCTAGGGCGCCTGGGTGGCTCAGTTGGTTAAGCGACTGCCTTCGGCTCAGGTCATGATCCTGGAGTCCCAGGATCGGGTCCCACATCGGGCTCCCTGCTCAGCGGGGAGTCTGCTTCTCCCTCTGACCCTCTTCCCTCTCGTGCTCTCTATCTCTCATTCTCTCTCTCTCAAATAAATAAAATCTTCAAAAAAACAAAAACAAAAAAAAAAAGATTTTATCTATTAGAGAAAGAGAGTGAGAGAGAGAGAGAGCATGAACAGGGTGAGGGGCAGAGGGAGAAGCAGACTCCCCACTGAGCAAGGCGCCCGATGCGGGACTCGATCCCGGGACTGTGGGATCATGACCGGAGCCGAAGGCAGATGCTGAATTGACTGAGCCACCCAGGCACCCTTTTTTCCTTCATTCTTAAAGGGAATTTTTTTCTGGGCCTGGAATTTTCTTTGGGTGAAGATCTTGAAGATACCTTCCCATTGTCTTCTGGCTTCTGCATCTTTGCTATGAAGAAATCAACTATTAGTCTCTTGCTCCATTGAAACTAACGGAATCTTTTTCCTCTGGCTGCTTTCAAGGTTTTTTCTTTGTATTTACTTTTCTGCAGCTTTATTATGCTGTGTCTTAAGGGAGGATTTCACTGTATATTTCCACTCCGATTTTGTTTGGCATCTTGGGTATGTGGATTGATACATCAATTCTGGGAAATTCTCAGCTATAATCTTTAAATATTGCCTCTGCCCAGTATTCTCGCTCCTTGACTTCTGGGGCTCCAAGTAAACACATGTTAGACCTTTTTTGGTTTATTTCCTGTATCTTTATTTTTCTAGATGTTCTGCATTTATTTTCTCTGCATCATCCTAGATGGTTTCTTCTGCTATAGCCTATAAATCATGAATTCACTTTTCAGCTATTTCTAATTGGCCATTAGCCTCATTCATTGAGTTCATAATTTCATTTTTTATATTTTTTAATTCTGGTTTTGTTTTGTTTTGTTTTTGGTTCTTTTTCTTACCTGCCCTGTTACATTTTATGGTCTCTAGTTCCCTTGCTGCATTTTTAAGTGAGGATTTTATTTCCAAATGCATTATCCTTTGTGTCTGATAATTCCAATATCCACAGCCTGCTGTGGTTCTGTTTCTGCTATCTCTAGTTCATGTTGCTGGTAATTGGTGCTGTCTTGGCATTGTCTTTAATTATTTGCTTGAAAACCCTGGGGAAAAAATACAGAAATAATTTGAGATCTGGGGTGACTTTATCTTCCTTAAGAGGTTTTTGTTTCTCTCTGCCAAGTGCCTGAGGTCATTAGGAGTCTGGAACCTAGGCTTTAGATTCTCTGTCCCCCTCCAGATGACCCACTGTGCTGCACTCTGTACCCCGACTCCAGGTTACAGCCCCGGGGCTCCAGTCTTTGCCTTTCCAACTCTAATTGTTGGTGAAACTACAACTCTGCCTCTCTCCTAATTCCTCTAGACTGGTAATCCACCACAAGGGCCAAGTAGTTCTGGCACTATTTCCTGAACTCTAAACCTCTTCCTTAATCTGACCTGGTAAATCCTATCTTTTATGCCTTCAAGCAGATGCTTACTGTGTTTCCTCATGTCTCATCTTCAGTGAGAACACTGGTCCAAATGACCTCTTTTCTCATCACCACCTCCAGAAATCCAAAGTTACGCCTGCTTGTGAATAAGACTTGCAACCCCTTGGGTGACTGGATGAAGGAGTTCCAGGTGACCCCCAAATGATACATACCCTTTTATCAGTAAATGACTCATTTTATTCTTTCAACTATTTTTTCAGTGCCAAGGATGTTGTACGCTTATTTTCCCTAGAAATAGGGATTCAGGGATAAACAACAACTTACCATTTTCTAGGAGACAGAGAAGTCAGTTTTCACAGGAGAGGTTTTTAGCCTGGGGTAAACCCCTTAAAATGATTTACAAGATTTTACATACATCTTCAGTCTTCTGGAGAGTTTGTGGTTTTCATCACATTCTCGAAGGAGTCCGTGACTCAAGTAGTTCTAAACAATCACTGCTCTGTGTGATATTAGATGTAATTTTAGCTTTAGATATTAGAGTAATTTTAGCTTTTTCATATTAATAAAAAGGTTTAGATTCTAAGTCCAATTTGTTGTTTATTCTGCATTGCGGGGAATTGGAGGGTTGGGTGTGATTAGCTTTAAATAAAACTTTCTACTGTTCAATAGATGCTTGACTCAGTGTCTATTGTGTGCTAGGCAATGGGGGTCCTGACATAAATATGATAGTTTCTATCCTCAAGGCATCTGGGCACAGATCCTAAACAGAAAATTATAATATCTTACCTGAAAGTAGTAGTTCTCAAACATCGATGATATAAGAATCAACCAGTCTACTTGTAAAATACTGATCTTTCTCAGGTTCCTTCCCCTGACCTGAGACTTTGATTCAGTAATTCTGGAGTGAATCTTGGAAATCCCCCCCCAAGGATTCTGATGAAGTGTTATACCACATTCTGAGAAGAATGGCAAACTCTTTTGTAATACTATGTACCTGCTGTTCTCTGTTCTACATTTAAGCTATATAATTTATTTTCTCCTCTGAACAGTGCTTTTTTCCCCCATGGTACCAGTTAAGAAACCAAAGCAGAGAACAGTTGAGTTGACTTGTCCACAGTCACACGGTTAGCACTAGAACCAGGGTTTAAGTGCAGATATCTACAGGGGCAGGCTGGCATCTCCCCTATGTGTATGTAGCCTCCTAGTCATTTATCTCCGCAGAGATATGTGAAGAGTTTATCCTGACCCTCAGTGGCTCTCATCTCCAGGGTCTTCTGTTAAATTTCTGGCTAGTCCACTGGTCTACTACTCACCTCAGATGCATCCGCAGTTTCAGGTTGGTGGAGCTATGGGCTTTCCCCTTTTATTTCCTCCCAAGTGTGCCATTTTTATTGCCAGCA